CAATACAAAATTAAAGAATCTGCTATGGACCAAAGAAAGACCAGGAATATACATGAAATAACTCTGAGATCTATTAACTATTTCTAAAAATTAAATAATTTTTATTAAAGTAAATTGAGCCCTGACCAGATAGCTCAGTCGGTTAGAGCATTGTTCCCAATATGCCAAGGTTGTACGTTTGATCTCCAGTCAGTGCACACACAAGAAGCAACCAATAAATGCATAAATAAGTGGAATAACAAATCAATGTTTCTCTTTCTCTCTCTCTCCATCTCTATCTAAATATCAATAAAATTGGAAAAAATAAATTAAGTATATTGAGCGCCTACATATATCCTCAGAGAGCTCAAAAACTAGTGGAATAGACAAACAAGGTAAATTATTTAAAATCAACTTAAGGAATATTATAAGAATGATCCCAAAAGGAAAAAAAATTTAGCAAATTCTGGAAACTAATAATTCGGAAAGACTGGCATTTGAGAAAGCAACAGCTTGTGAAATTAGAAAGTTAGACAGAAAACTGGTAAAGAAATTTGAAAGCACTGATGACTCCATGTTCAATTCCAAATCTCCTCCTACAAGAATGGAAGCAACAGTACAAGTTTCACTACATGATTTTTCAAGCATGAATGTAAACAAATCAAACAAAATTTTCATAGATACCTGAAAAAGACAGCCTAAAAGAGATACTGTATCATCAGTTAATATTTATATCCCAGGCCCTGTTCTAAATGATTGATGTGCATGTATATACACACACACATATATATATAAAAATTCATTTAACCATCACAACTCTATAAAATAGGTGATTACATTCTATTAAGAGATAAAAAACTAGCACAGAAGTTGCTCATGGTGACACATATATTAGCTAAACCAGACAGTTTAGTTCTTAAGTACTATGTTTTACTGCAGAAAAATAGTGCCCTCTTCAAATCTAAATTTAGGTCATGCTACTAAGTCTTACCCATTCCTGCAGTCTAGATTGGTCCTATACTTAAAAAAATAAAAAAATAAAAAAAAGGATGCAAATAAAATGCAAAACACTAATATGAAGAACTAGTACACTAAAACTTAACTATAATCATCATTAATATTCTCAAAAATTGTTATTTCAGCATAACTTCTCCAGTTGCTTTTTCATCTTTATCTAAAAAAGTTAAAAGCTACCAGAAAACCCAAATAACAGGTTTAAGATGATTTCTGAAAATGAGGATCTGGTTTCAGTTGATTGTTTCCCTAGGGTTTGTTTAACTAGGATGATTTCTCAAATCATCACAGTCTTGCACTAAATTCTAAATGTCAAGAAACAAACTTAGTCACTAGGCAACAAAAGAGTCCTAATTTGATTTACAAAAAAAATACTTTCCAAGTTTTTACATTAGGAACAACTGGGATACTAAAAGTAAAACAACAACAAAAAAAAGGTAAATAAAAGGAAAACATATATATATAAACCCCTACAACTAAGTAAGAACTAACTACATCACTAAAAATCTAAAATGTAATTCTCAGTTCCTGTACCACAGAGGTTACTTCCTGCAGCAATAAATCTACATATATTTTAAATCAAATCTTACCTAACCAAAATTATCCTGTCCTTAATTCTATTGTGCCCTGTTTAGACATGATAAAAGATTTTCTTCAAACAAGTCACCAAACATTCTTTGATATACATAGCAGCTACCCTTGAGTTATCTCAATTTGTCCATACTGTACAAGGGACTCAGAATTAAAAACAAACAAACAAACAAACAAACACTCCAAAGACTATTCCCTGATCTAGTTCCTGGGACTGCATATTTTCTCCTAAAAAAAAAAGAAACATGGTACAAGTGTAAAAAGTAAAGGTAAAAACAATCCTCAGTTGCCAATGGAAAGATTCAGTTCTATTAGTTATTTTAAGAGCTATAGCAAAGAAATAAGTTATGGTGTCTTAATCATAGAATCACATCCCATTTCTGAAGCACAGTTAAAGTTTTTATAAAACATTAGTATCATATGCCTACACTGAGACATGAGCCTTGACTTAATAAAAGCCAGAGAAAAGCAAGCACTAAATACATTGGAGCTTCAACAAAATTTATGATACGACCTTTCCTTTCAGTTGAATATGGAAACAATCTCATCGACACAGAAAGTGAATATATCAAGTGTACTCTGTATTTAGAAGCAACTTGGGGAGACAAGTGCGAAAGGAAATCATTCTTAAATCTATCAATAAATTTTCTTAAAGCCAATCATGCTGTTTCTTAAAAATAAGATCCTTCCTAGAACAGCGACATAAACTCTGCAAAGTCCAGTCTAACATTTTCTTACCAAAGGCACATCATTTGCCTAATAAAACCAGGTAAAGAAATTTGTATATTAAAAGATCCAGTTATCACTTATGATCCTGTGGTATCAAAGCATTACCTATGTATTGTTTAAAGAATTGATACTTGTTTTAATAGACAGCTATGAAAACTGTGACTCTAAAATAAGCTTGATGGAAACAAGTTTGATTTATACATTCCATACTTACTCATTCTCCATCCCAAAATGCCTATTTCTCCATTGGAAGTGATAAAATCAATAACATCAGAAGTCAAAATCGGACATCTTCCACACCAAAACAGTAATTAGCCATCTACTAAACTACAAAATGCTCTACTATTTCCCAAATTATTAGGTCCTAACCAGTTTGTGTTCTTTACCAATCTAAGCAAATCATTTACCTGGTCTATGATTTCAGGTTCTCTCTTTATTTCTTTATTTATTTCAAATAAGTGGGCAGAATAACCTAAGTTTTCTTCCGGTTTTAATACACTTAGATTTTTAACTCAACAAATGAACACAATATTTCTCCTATCTTCCAACAGAAAAACACATATATTAGAAGCGTATGTCTAGTGAAAAGAGCTTTCCTTTCTTCTCAATACTAAAGGAATCCTTTGACTTGTTCTTAATTTGGATTCTCCCCACCACTGCAAAAAATCCTCAAGTACTAACTTACTGAATAGGTTACTTGGCAAATGTCCTGGTCAAAAAAACAAAAACAATGCCTATCTACTACTATAAAGGATCCTGGGGCTAGAATGATTACATTTTTAACCAACAAAATGAAAAATTGTATTAGCAGGGTTAAATGACATTTGGAGTTCTAAACCAGGGTACCACTCAATGAGCTAGAGGTTCTGCAACCAAATCCTAATATTCTTCAGTTTGACCATGTCCATGCCTAGACAGAGAACAAAAATCCAAAAAATCATGAGTTCTAAGAAAAACTAGGTACTTAGACAAAATTCTTACTGGGACATTAGACAAGCTGAGTTTTTTCCACTGCACTATTAGTTTCAAGATAGTAAACTATCAGAAAATCCCAAGTGACAAAGAAAAACAAATGCATAGAAGTCTTCAAAGTTAATTGAAGCTACTAAAATTAATCCACAAAATTTACTTGGGTCCAGTCTTAAGAGGGTTAGGTAACCAATTAATGAAAAAAATTTGTCAAAAACCACCTATTCAAATAGTAAATGATAACAGAAGAATAAAATCCAGAATCAGAAGCAACAGGCACCCTGGGTACAAAAAAAAAAAAACAATGTATATGCCCGTAAACAAAATTTTTGCCCGTAAACCAAATGAAATCAGACCTAAGTTTTTGAGTAAGATTGACCAATGGAAACAAAATTATAGTTTAACAAGTTTAAAAAAAAGCTGCCACCTTTCTAACCCTAAACCCCTATAAAATTGAGTAGTTATTTCACAATGCCTTACAAGTTCCATATCATTAACAGTAAATCCTAAGAAATCATGTTCTAGAGAACATGTCAGTTTTTAAATTTACTTTCTTCCACATATTGAGTTCATTTCCCTTCACATTTGATATGACCTTGGCCATTTGGAAAGTGACAATCAAAAGAATTAATTATTATTAGCATGGATAAAACAAAATTTCTAGATCATTCAGTTACTTTCATATCCTACTTCAGCATGGTCCATTTTCCTGGCAAGAAGAATATGGATAATGACATTCTTCATGTATGATACAACTGACTTTTTCATTCAGTGTTACTCTGTTCTTCCACTAACCTGTGCTCACTTCCTGGTGAGGAAATCAAGCTGCTACAGGTCAAGCAACAAGTAGCCCAATCCCAGCTATTTAAACCTAGAATACACTTGTCAACCAGAATGACACAATGTTATTTACATCATGAAAACCTCCCTGAGAGGTTAAAAAGGAAGTATTGTGACTCCTGTAGGCTCTTGGGAAAATCTGGCTTAAAAACCTTTCATAACAAAATTAAAACAATAATAACACAACACTCAAAGCACTTAAGACAGTTTTGTGTGGGCTCCTATTTTTCACTCTATAGTGAGTGGGCTGAAAACATACATATTACTTTCAATTAACAATGTCAACTTACTGCTAGCTACCATAAGGCTTAAGCATCATTAAGAGGTACGATATCAAAGATTTATTGTACCTTACTAGTCCCAAAGTATTTAGTAGAAAAGAAAGTCTTTTTTATAGTAGTTATTATTAAACGCCTGTGCAACCACCAAGATATAGCCAAAGGAAGGTCACTCGTGAACAAGGTCGTTCTTATTTAAAAAGAACAGCCTGATCTCAGAGATAGAAATATGCATGTAACACACCAGCAGCTCATCACCGCAGAGCCTCGATGAAACTGAAATGTACAAGTCAAGAAGACTTTACTTCCCTAACTCAAAAACTTCCCCACTAATTCCAAATTTCCTTCCATAAACTGTAACAATAAAGTAGGCAATGCATTTGTCCCCGACGATTTCCCTAGCAACAAATCTCGTCGTCTATCAATAATTCCTGGTACGTGCGGCAAAATCTAATTTAAATCTCTTTTCAAAAGTTGGCCTCCTACTCAGAGCGAACAGTTAGAGAAAGACAAGTAAAAGGTAAACTCAATAAACTGGCTTAAACGAGCCACATTTGAGATTCAAACCACCGCAAAATAAAGAAGTAGGCGGGGCTATACCTGCAGTTCACACCAGGCGACCTCCACAGTCGTTTCAGTGTCCAGTCCTTTGTAGACTGTCTTAAAGGAGCCTCTGCCAATTTCGATGTCAAATTTGAGAAAGCGGCCATCATTGGACGTTCCCACGGCCTGGGTCTCTAGCTCTTCGATATCGTCCTGTTGCTGGCTACGTTCCTCTTGCGGTTCCTTGGCGCTGCCGCCACCGCTGCCGCTTCTCGCCGAAGGAGGCTCCTCTTTGCTCCCCACATGGTCCGGCTGGGAAACTTGGCGGTCTCTGCTGGTACTGCTGGGGGCAGTCGTGACCGCAGTACCCGTGGAGGCGGGTTCCCTAGAGGCAGCAACAGCGGCGGGAGGCTGCTGGGCTACCTGGGCAGCGGTGGTAGCGGTCAAGGTCTCCTCGCGGTGGGGCTCTGGTGGAGTACTCTGCGGACCCACCGCGGCGACGCTGGGCTGAGGGAGAGAAAGCGGGAGGCCGGGCAATTCCAACGCGGTGGCGTTGGAGTCGCAGATGACGCTGCGACGAAAGAAGCGATGCTCCGTGGTGGTGGTGGTTGAGGCTGCCCCACGGCTGTCCTTGTCCATAGTGTGGCGGCGACGCCGGTACTCCTCAGTCCTGCCAGTTCCAGCGTCGGTCCCCGCAGTGCCCAGTTTCTCCCCCACAGAGGAATCGGAGCTGGAGCCATTCTTGGGGGATGGCGCCGGCGGCGAGAGGAACAGGGAGCTCGGCGTGCCGCTCTGTTTCTCCGAGGCGCCGCCAGACATGGTCGGTCCGCTGGAGCAAGGCGAGCCGGCTCGACTTTGTGAATGAAAATACGATGAGGGGCCGACCCAGAGGAGCAGTGAAGGTCGGCAGGTTCCGCTGCGATGGCTCCCGTTCCCGGCGGGTTCGGATCAAACCGGACGACTCCTCACTCAGCACTGACAAGTCACCCCGGAGGCGAGGCGGGACACGAGGGCCAGCTGCGACGGCTGGTTCGGCTCACAAGTTGGGCTCGTCGGCGGGCTATCGAGGAGCTGAGCCACCGGGGTTAGCGCCTCGCGACCCGCATCCATCCTGCGGCAAGGGGCGGCCGGAAAGGCTGTAGCAGCTGAGGCGCCGCAGTCATACGAGGGAGGGCAAGGAGCCGGCACCGAGTAGCAGCGGATGCGGCGGATGCGGCGGCAGCTCCAGCTCCCGCCGCCGCCGCTGCGCGGGCTGGGCGGGCTAGGCCCGGAGGGCGGCCGCAACGCGAAGCAAGGACTAGCACGGACTCCCGAGCGGTGGCAGCTCCAGGGCCAAAGAGAGTGGGAGGGACCGAGCAAGGCCAGGGAGGGCCGGGCCCGGAGGCTCCGGGGCAGTCAGTCGGTCACCGCCTCCCAAACGCGCCCCCAGCGAGAGGCACCAGTCTCACACGGCGTCCATCGCCCGGATGTGAAGGGTGGAAGCCTCGAAGCCTCTGTGCCTGAGGAGCGGGCCCCCCCTTCCCCGAGGCCTCCCCGCCCGCCCCAGGCCTGGCAAACCCCCGTCTCCTCCCGGGCCGGTTGCCGGGGGCTGACAGAGGGAGGGAACGGTGGGGAGGGAACGGTGGGGAGGGGAGGGCCGCTCAGCGCGGGGCCCGAGCTCCGCTGCTTCTCTGGGCCGAGAGCAGAGGAGACCGAGAAGACTGGGTGAAGGGGAATTGGGAAAGAAAAGAGTAGTCACCCCAACAGGCGCCTTCTGTCACCGAAGACGGGGGTGCAGAGTCGTCGAGGGGGAAGAGCCGCGTCCGCCGGAGAAACTCGCCGCGCTAAATGGCGCCGGGAGTCTGAAGTCTCCACACAGCCCGCTTGCACCCCGCCCCCCACCGCCCGGGGCAACCCCACCCCCACCCCTCCCCCACCTCACTCAGGGCTCTCGCGCAGGCGTGCCAGTACCGGGGCTCCTGGGACTTGTAGTTTACTCTTTTAAGAAATGAAAGAGGCTCTGGAGGAAGAAGCCTACGACTTCCGTGATGCTCGGCGGCTGCCTCAGTTTCATGTCTCATGGGAGTTGTAGTTTCCTTTTGGAAAACCGCCTCTAGAAGAAGGCTGATGGGAGCGTCGTCGTGAGTCGCTAAACCCCATCCTTAAATCAGCGCTAGCTGGGAAAGTCATTATTTAGAGATTAATTGTGGAAGATGAGAAAGGAAGAAAGAAAAAGAAAAGGGGTGCAGGACGAGAGGAGAGATTCCCATTAGTGCTCTACTGGTGCTAGAAAGAGCTCTCAGGGCTGCCATGCAAAGAAAAATGATCTGTTGTTCATCTTTAATGGAGAAAGCTGCAGTAGTGAAGGGGTGTGGGGGTGGAGGGGAAAGGCAAAGCAGCGGAACCAGAGCCTAAACTCAGCCAGAAAAACTAACGACTCCTTCCGTAGGGTAAAAAGAATCTGTGCATTGCGCATGAGATTAATACTGATTAAATGGGTTGGGGAAGCAAACAGGGAGAATTATCTTCTATCCTCCTCCCTCTTCCAGAGCAATTAAGATTAAGTTGTGGGCATTCTCCGTTCCAGCTCCAAAAGAGACATTCGGGCTCTCAAAGATGGGCTGCCCTACTGAAATCAAGGATCATCGCGAACTCTTTGCCAAAATAAAATGAACGATGCAAGGAAAAAGGGTGAACTTTGAGTCTTCTACCACAAACTTGAGAAAGCTGAATCCACTTTCCGTCTTTGCTTGGTGGCTTAGTAAAACAACATCCCCTCTTAGAAGTTTATGAAGTACGCATGTAGTTTATACCATGACTTTAGACATAGAGGAAATCTGGGTCCATACAGTTCACAGTAATGGAATGCTTTTCTTGAAAGCACCCTTGAGGTCCCTGAATCCCTTTGCTTCTCGCAACTACCGCAGATTATACAGGTGATGAGCACTAGGAGGCACCAGACTGAGTAGGAAGCCAGATCACAGTCAAAAGTCGAAGCCCAACGGGTAAGAGCGGGAAGCACTTGAACTACCCAACGTACCCTACGGCCTCTCGGCGTCTACACACTCCAGCCTCTCATCAGCCAGCGCTGGCTACGGAACGACCTTAGAAGTGCGCAGCTTAGCAGAGGACCAAACTAACTAAGACAGTAGTTTGGAAGTAACTTGACAGACGATAGTTTCCTAGGAAATGCTCACAACTTATCTGAAGTACACTTAGAGAAGTTTGCTATGCAATTCATATTAATTTATCTGATATGTAAAATAGTTAACACTAGTAACTATTTTCAAAATTTTGAAATTAAAATTTTGAATTTGAAAATAAACAGTGTTTGGGCAATGAGTTATTCATTTGAAAAACAAATTAGGTTAGATATCTATCTCACACCACAAAGTAATTTGATAGCTACTATCAAAAGCTGCACTTTAAGATATACAAAAAAAGTTTGTTCTAAAACCAATGGTTTTTAGGTTTCATAAAACTGGCAGATTAGGAACATTTTAAAATTCAAATTCAGTAGGGGCAACTCCAGTACTAAGATATTACAGTTCTATTGTTTAAAAAAATATAACCTTCACTCATTTGCTATGGTAATGGTAAATCTCATTATGGTATATGTAATTAGTGGTTTGTCTCCAGTTTCAGAACTTAATGTAAAGCAAGGAAAGAAATGACTTTAAAATGCATTTTTATTGTACTTCTTGAGGCAGATTCTTAGAACTAGCTCAATTGTTGCTTTACTAGGAAAAATAGTCTGATTTTAAACAGAAGGCAACTAGTTATAAATCGGTGAGTTAAAAGGAGAGCAGTAAATCACAATGTTCATGTTTTGGCACCCTCAAAAATGATGCTATTTCTGTGTGAATGATCATTAAAAGACTTTATTATTGCCTATTCCTGTTTACTGGGCACTGAAACTTTGGCCACATTGCACTGGACACAAGGCCCTTCACAATCACCATATCCTATCGACATGTTATTTCAACCAGAATTAATTAAATTTATTGTAAATAATTAACTGTTAATCAGAACCCTGCTTGCCCACATAATGATTCTCCTACTTGTGGAAACAGGTACAACTATGAGTATAACTATATTGTGTACAATGATTAGATGTAAAGATTAAACTGTTTAGTGTGATTATTTTACTATAGATACTGTTTTATTCCATTTTTAATGCTTACCAACTTTCAATTAACATGTTTTCTATTACTCACTAATATGATATTCCTAATAGTACTTTTCCTTTACCATTTCAGTTATCAAGTAAAGAACTGATCCCTCTATAATCTATATAAAAATTAAGTGAAATATGTAGAGGTAGCAGAAAGACCCCAGGACATAATAGATGCAGTAAGCTCAGAGATTTGATTTCTTGGCAGGTGGGTCCATAAAAAGAATACATGTATTTTATTTTCTCTCACCATGTTCTTATTCACTTTAGTCTTTATTTTCTCACATATATTCATGTTTCTCTTTCTTATCCATTCACATTTTATATTTACATGGTCCCTGCCATTTTTAACTGGCTAGCAATGAAAGCCAGAGCGAGCTTTGATTTAAACAGTGGCTGAACATATAGAATCTACCTCAGTTTATATGTGGATAATTCACAGAGTAGCTTCTTGAAGTGTAAGGGGGAAAATACCATCTCGAAGGCATTTCTTTCTTTTTTCTACTTTCCCTGACTTCTCATGCTCCTTTGTTTTGCCTGTGGATAATTTTAATTTTAATTCCTTGTCATCTGAAACTCAAGGAAGACTGGAGAATCAGGAAGTTAAACAATGAAGAATAGATTTTTAAAACCTTTTTTATTATAAATGAAATAAAGGGGATGGGACATGCCCCATATCACAGCATATTATAAAACCATAGAGTAAATCTGCATGGTATTGAGATAAGCATATATGATGGAACTGAAGACAGTACATGTATGTATGTATGGGAATTTCATATATAAAGAAGTTGACATTTCAAATCAGTGGGAAGAGATTAATAAACAGTGTTTGGACAATTGTTCATTTGAAAAAAATTAGGTTAGATATCTACCTCACACTATTCACAAAATTAATATCAACATAATTGAGAGAGATAACTTTTATTAGAGAGCTCTGAGGATTATTTTTGAAAAGGAAAATATGGGATAGGAAAGGACTTCAGAGAAAAAAACATAAAGAAAAATAGTTGACTATTATCAAAATTAACAGTTCAATGAAACACAAATGATAAATTGGCAGAAAAACATGGAATCTGTGTAACAAAAGACTAATATCCAAAATATGTAAACTAACAACTTGAATCACTAGATAAAAAAGACAACCCTTTATAAAAGGATGTGAGGATATGAAATCAATTGAGACAGGAGGAAATGTAAAGGACAAAAATAAGCTTGAAAAAATGCTGAAACAGTAGCTAGGGAAGTACAAATTAAAATAAGGTATACGGATTTCACTCATAAAATTAGCAAAATTATTAAGGATTTATAATAGCAAGTGTTAAAAAGGTTATGGAGAAACACAGGTACTATTAATGACAGCATAAATCAGTACAACATTTTTTAAGGCAATTTGTTAGTGCTCATTAAAATATACAGTATGCATAGCCTTTGGCCCAGCAGTTTCCCTTCTTGACACCTACCTGAAAGAAATACTTGCACATGTGCACTAAAAATATCTATAAGATCTACAGTTTTGTCTATTATCCCCCAAAAGAAACAATTTGCATGTATGGCTAAAAGAAAATAGTTAAACTATGATATATCCAATCTGAGGAACACCATGCAACAAAGAGGAGAAGGAGGTAGATATACATTGGGTGCTATAAAAATAATAAGTGAAAAATTCAAGTTGCA